GATTTATAGTGATTTCACTACTTTATATCCAATTTCATATACTTTATTAATTTACTATTTAAAGTAGTTCCTTAATCCTTGTCAATAGATGGAGAGCCCCTCGAAGTATTCTTTAATTAGGCAATCCTGTCAGACCCTCCTGTTATTTTGGCGAAATAATGATATATGGCAACCAGCAAAAATTGATTAATTAATTAACTATCAGATAAGCCTATCATCTATGTTGTTTGTTATTTAATTTCTGTGGGAAAAAGGATAATAAAACAACAAAATATCCTAGTATTTTTTGCAAAGAGAAACAACAAGTTATTTTCATAGTCAAATAAAAGAAGGTCTATTTTATTGACATTATCGTTTTACCATCTTAGATGACTACTAAAGACAAATGTGCTAGCCATATCTTTATGTTTTCATACTACTGTACTATAATGTTTCTTTGCTAAAAATCACTTATTATTATGATTTATAGTAATAAATATTAAAAGAATTTATGTCAAGCGGGCTGCATCATTTTCGTTCGCAAATTGATAGTACACCTAATTATCACTGTCATAAAATTATTATTTAAAAAGTAAAGGGCAATCCTTTGTCTCCTTAATTCATTGGTCTTGTTACCGTATCATTTTTTCCAGCCTGCTTTATCAAAATCAGGGTTGGCAGCCCAATTTTGAACAGCCAGTTTCATTACTTTTAGCTTTTTTGGCCGGCTTATAGTGATTTCAATGATCCATAAATAGGGCATCTAGGTTGTTCTTTAAAATTAAATATGAGCAAGCCCTATTCAAATTTTGTATTATTAATTTGATTATTATTATTTATAAATATTAAAATAGTATAAGTCAGTTGGCCGCAATATATAAACTGATATTGTGTAGGCCTAAGTGAAGAGCAAAACACACATTTTTTGACAAAAAAAGGCAGGTCTTTTTAGTCATAGATTAAAATAGACAAACGTTTAACATTCCAATTATAATTTCTGTGTAATTCCATGTAATTCGCATTTAATTATCAAGCACGCGTGAGCATGCGCAAATATTCGAATTCTAAAGATAAATTCTAAATCACGTTTTTGATAAGTACAGTAGTTATTAAGTAATAACATCATAAACACAATTAAACATGTGAAAATACTGTGTAATATACCGAACTCATATACTTTGCATGTGTTCATCGGGAAGATTTGGACAAAAAATGGACGGTGTGTACCACATGACTTTCGCAAACCGAGGAGCAGAATGTCGCAACTCTTTGTATGTATGGCTCTGGGCCAGCCACCCCCCTTCGGTGACCATGAAAAAAAAATGGTCACTCGTCTTGTGTGTGCTTCTCATGTATACATGTTACTTGTAGTAAGGCTATTCTCGTAAAGCATGCACTTCTATGTTAAACCTAACTTCTTTTCAGAAGTCATCCAAGATCATCTAGCCGGCTACTAATTCTAAACAAAGCTCAATTGGAAGGGGCGTCCCTCCCAAAACCCATGATTAATGGGGGACAGTGGAACACGTCCCCAAATATTTTAAGGGGGTGGGAGGTTGGTCTCCTCACATTTCGTCAGCAATGTAATATTTTCGTAAGTCAAGAAGACGCCTGAAAATGCTAAATTATAGATCCGCCACTGGAAAAATTTTGTGAATACTTTTGAACAGTCATTGGATCTACAGTTGCCTCTGCCTTTCTTCGCCCAGAATTTTCACCTGATCTATGGATTGCTGTGTGCTAAATTTACATGCATGGCTAATGCTGAGGAGGATGTTGTGCATGATTAAATCTGTATAGTTATAATTGTTCAGTCTACCATAGCAGCCAAATTTTTAAAAAATATTTAAAGGGGTGGGTACACCAGAAAAAAATTAATGATTTTTTTCCCCTCCGCACCCTGGCCTTAATATTGATTTTCAACATGCTTTTTGTTATATGTGAATAATAATAATTTGATATTTAATTGTCGCAAGCTTTCAATCCTGTTTGGACTGACCGCCCACCAACAAAAATAATACTATACATTCTTAAAAACAAGGAAAAGGTTAACCAAAAAAACTGATTTTTGTTTTTGAAACATGTTAGTCTACAGTGATACTAAAATTTTATTTGTTTTATATGAAGACACTAAACAAAATAATGATGTTATAAATCACTCAGTTGTTTTTTAACAGTTTCTCACTCACATACATAGGTATTTTTTTACAGCTTTATATCACTGTTATCAACCATATTCATTATATCAATTAAAAGTTAAGTTATTTATTTACATTAATTGATTAATGTCGTATGTGCTATGTATGATGTGCTTAACTTTCCTTTTGGAAAAATCATGTGTTCTTTTTTTCTTTCAAAAGATGGACTATAATGATCAGAGTGGTTCAGGGATGTCCACACAAGGTAAGACAATTCTATAAATTGTTGGAGTTTTATTGGTTCTGAATCATAGGTCATGTGATTAGTTTATTTTACTGACTATTTTTGGGTATTTTAGGTTCTGGTGCAATCATACTTATCAAAATATAAAGATTGGAATAAATGATTTTAATAACTATCACAGGTACAGTTTACTATATCGTTTGTATAAATAATGTATATATAATTTTTAATGTGCATTCCATAGATGCAGAGAAAGACTTTTTTTCCCATTGATTATAGAAATCTTAACCTTAATTACAAATTGAATTGAAGCAATCACTCCATGTGCATACTTCTGCTCTGTGCCTGATACAATACACAGATCATTACCTTGATATTTTAACTTTTCTTCCCCAAAGTTAATCATACCTCCTTGGTGAAGGTAATTAATAATAAATGTATTCATATTTCTGTATTTATTTTAGAGGAGTCAGATGGGTATCCAGTACAGATAGCAGAGGTTACAAGAGAAAAACTTATACTAAATGAAGAAGCCCTTGAAATGGTCTTGACGCAACCACAGTTGGAAGATTTGCCAGTGATGGTTTTGTCATGTGCTGGCATATTTCGCTCAGGAAGATCATTCTTACTCAATTTGTTGATCAGATACCTCAACCAAGGTGTAAGTACTGTATAGAACAATTTACAAAAGTGGCACACATTAGTGCCATGCAACAGTGCCAAGAGACAGCGGCATGCCACACGTGACTGCGACAGAATATCCTGTCGTAACGAGCAATACATGTACACAGCACATGCAGTGGCGGTGCCAGGGGGTGCTTAAGCCCCCCCGTCGGTTTTTTCAAGCTCCCCTCATCAACCGCAGCATGTCCGGCAGTCACACCAAAAAAAAAAATAGGCCTAGTTTTCCCATCCTATAGCCATTTCCAGCCTGCTAAAAGTCCCAATTTTTAAAAAAAATCTTGTTTTGGGAGGAGGGGACTCCCCCTCCCATACCCACCCCAGATAATGCTGCGCACTATAGTTACACCCATAAATACTTAGTCCCCCCCAGTCGGACATCTTAGGGGTCCCCCCATAAATTATATCCTAGAGCCGCCACTGAGCATGACAACAGCCATAATGCAAGCAACCTTCGTGCCTTGTTCTTCAGTCCACATGCTCAATAAAGGATGACCAAAGTGACAGTGATTGGTCTTGCACCAGTTTTTGGACAGTAATGAGGCCTAAAAAAACATTTTTAGCTCCTGTGCATGTAATGCAATAGGAACTATTGTAATCACTCTTCACTGTTTTTCCTGTGTGAGTGTGTGTGTGTGTGTGCGCATGTGTGTGTAGACAATAATGCAAATGCGCATGCGTCGAAGAAAAGTTTTCCGACATTTTGTTTTACCTCGCGATGCGAAGTTTGATGTGATGTTTCTGCACTGCTGCAGTGTTCAGTCAGGGCTCACGCTAACCGATCGGCAAGTCGGCATGGATGAAACTATTTTGGTTTTGCGGCAAAAAAAATCAACTGCTGTAGGCATAGGCAATTTTTTGCAAAGAAATTTGCTAAAACTATTACTGAAAAACTATTTTGGGCCATAAAAAGGCTCCCCCTGAATTTTTCAACCACCACACAAATTTGACCCCACATATTTTCTGATTGTGTCATTTACGATGACTTAATCAGAAAATATGGTTGGTTAAGTCATGTATCATGCATAGGAACATTGGCATCTGCAAGGCTCTGGTTTTGTTTTCTGTCAGGTCTTAAACATTTGAGTGGAGGGCTGGGTGGAAAAAAGTTTTTGTTTTTTTGTTTTTGTTTTTTATTCTAACTGGATCTACATAAACAGCTTTGTAGAAGATGAAGGGTAGGTTGGAAAACTTTTTTTTTATGTCGAAACAGAATACACATATGTACATTAGGTATAATCTGTGCATACGTATAGGTGAACTACACCAAAAAAAGTCCAGGTATATAGTAGAGTATGTAGCCTAATGAAACACTATTTGAATCACTCATAGGCTAGTGTGTATACTACTTACAGTAGATAGGCCTTAGTCTGTCTGAAAGTCCCTCCATGGCCTCTTCTATTTCAAACTCTTAGATGCACCACTGATGATATAATATCCTATTCCACTGTTAAAAATATTTAGAATACACAAACATGATTAAACAATGAGCACATCTAAAGTCCCACAACAGAATTGGCACCCAGGGCCCAAAAAGGGCCCAGTCTTTTAGAAAGCCACAGGAGCCCAGCCCCATCGTTACGTGTTACTGCATAACATATGTTTTAAAGAACATAATAGTTGTAAATATGCCTTTTTGATGCAAAGTTTAAAGTCAGGCTCCGGGAGAAAAAATTTTTTGATATGTTGTAGAACTGATTTTTCTAAGACAGAAAAAAGTTGTTTGACGAAAAACGGGGGAACGGTGAATGAGATACAGATTTTTTAATATTTAAAAACTGGGGGAATAAGGTGTAAAAATAGGCAGTTACGCCCCTTTTCCCCCAGTTTTTAAATATTGAAAAAAAATCTGTATCTCATTCACCGTTCCCCAGTTTTTCGTCAAACAACTTTTTTCTGTCTTAGAAAAATCAGTTCTACAACATATCAAAAATTTTTTTTCCTCCGGAGCCTGACTTTAAAGTAAGAAATCATGCCAAGGAAGTGGCCATACAACCAGAAAACAAAATTGCATTTCTACTACTGCATTACATCTTGTGAGTGGATGCAAGTCTTGATAGTGAATTAACTTTGTAACTTGTAAGTAGTAGAGCACTGATATTTTCTGATTTTTTTAAATTTTTTTTTGTGTAAAAACTGATTTACTTACATCTCAGGATTACAGGTACATTTCTTTTTTGCTCATTGTTTTGTTGAAGATTAATTATAATATTGTTGTATTATTTAGTGCTCACAAAGCTGGATGGATGATGAAGAATATATAGTAAAAGGATTTAAATCCCAGCCAGGAATCGACAGATTGACCACTGGTATCTGGATTTGGAGTAAAGTGTTTATCATAGGACCTGTGGATAGACAGGTTAGTGCCATTAAAAACATACTGCTCTGATGCTCATCTGCATATCATTAATATTTATGCTTAGTTAAAAATACACACAAATAGTTCTTAATGCAATTTAGAAATTTTAATCTGGTAAAGGTAGGTATATTTACTCAATTCTGAAACTCTTTTTTTATGTTTGGCCACAAGACTCATTTCATGACAACACCTCACAAGTTTGATTCTTAACTGACTGGTAAGCGTAAAAAATATGGTTTGATCTGTGTCTTCCTGAAAGATATTTTTTATAATCTAAAAAAAACACATTAAAGCTAATACATTGTGGTGGGTAAGCATGTACTTCAAAGTATATTTATTCCTTGTTATAATTTTATTTTTATTTTTTGAAATTGTCATTATTTTCAGTTTGGGGTTGTGTTGATGGATATTCAAGGATCACAGGATCCGTACTCTTCCACCAAGGAAAATACTGCAATTGTTGCACTTAGCGCATTACTGAGCTCTGTACAGGTACAAATGCCTATTTCTAAATATTGATCAACATTATACCATCCTTGGCTTTACATAGTGTATAACCATGTTTATACAGCCATTTGCTATCAGATTAGTAACACCATTGATCTCCAGTTGAGCATCTATACGATACAAAATCATTGGTTGTACAAGGAAGTCACATGATTAAAACTGACCACCTAAAAAAAAAATATGCGCATTGCGGCTTGTCTTAGAACCCCTAGTCATAAAAGATTTAAAATGTATATAATTGATAAAAACATAATTTTTAGCTACTATTCTGCAAATATTAAATTGTATTTATGCTGTTTATCAACATCGATTTCCGTGATGGCTCTCACAGGTCAAACAACAGCTAATTTGCATAAAGATCATGCTGATGATCTGTTAACACCGCTGCGATGTGTGGAGGTAACTCTTTAAATTATTGTGGTTACTGATCTGTTATAAAGAGATTTAAAAACAGTTTCTTGATTAAAATCTATTGATCAAGACAAAATGTTGACCACATTTATAGAAAAGGTAAAAAGTAGCAGAATTTAAAAAGGATAATAATTATAATAATATTATTATTTATTTTATTTGACTTTTCACTGGCATCAGTACAAAAATACATGTGTATAAATAGAAAAAATTCCAGTGAGAGAGCGTATCAACAGGTGCATGCACCTCTAACACGACACGCTCTCCAAATGCACAAAACCCAACGGCAAATACATAAATATATAAATTAAAAAGAAAAAAGTTACACAGTTCTACATAAATGACAAAAGCATTTTGTGACCCAGGTGCATGTGCTGGCTGGGTCAAATGCACAAAACCCCACAGCAAATACATAAATATATAAGTCGAAAAGAAAAAAGTTACACAGTTCTACAAAAATGACAAAAACATTTTGTGACCCAGGTGCATGTATTGGCTGGGTCAGACAAACAGAAGCTCATAGAATGTGCATAAGGCTCGCTTAAAACCAGATATTGTGGAGTTTGAATGTATGGGGTGAGGGATTTGGTTCCACATGGGGAAAAAATTTGATTGAAGTAGAATTTTCTGTAAGTTTCAGTTTTGCAATGTTTAGCAGCGAGTTTTGAGATGGTCAGCATTACAAAGCCAATGTGAAAAAATGAGAGATTCATTAAAAACGAAAAAATTATATGAAGGATAAAAAAATAATACCAATCATAAATAATCCTGTTTGATTAATTAAGGTCTTTCAGGGATAAAGACAAAATCAAAGGTCAAAATTATCAAAGTAAACTTTTAAAAAGATGTATAAATTAATATGGTTAAAGTTAGGTACACTACTTTATACATATTAAAAATATGAGAAGTGTTTTGTTGCAGATTTATAATGTGAAATCTGATATTAATGAAGCCGATCTGCAGTTTCTTCAGCTATTTGTGAAGTTTGGAGCTGCAATTAAGGGAAATAATGAGAAACCTTTCCAGGTTAGAAGAATTTTTTTTCAAATTATTTGACTCTCAAAGACAAGCCTACACTTTGTAAATATGCCAATTCAATTAAAAAAAATAGTACCACCGTATAATGGATGCTTTGTCCCTTATACTATTTATCTCTCATGTGAGTGTTATTCGAGTAGCTGAGCAATCAGACATAAACTTCAAACTAATGCTATAGGTTTGTACGTGAGTCTGGATTGGGGCACAAGAAGCAGGAAAAAGTAAACTTGGCCCCTTTTTTATAATTTGTACTCTTGAAATTTGGTTAAGAGACTGATCGTGACCATCCAAATCACACTAAATCAGCTTTAGACTGGATTCCAGTCCCTATAATCTGTCTTAATCAGTGAAAACGTGTAAAAATAAGTTGATTTTGGCACCATTGGCATTCCATATTACTTACATGGCATTATATACTATAATTTTTACCCCTTCCAAATTCAACATAACAAGTTTCTCGACATAAAAAGACACTGGTGGCACTCTCTAAAATTATCTAATATCTAGGAAAAAAATAAATAAATCAGAGACTTATGGCAAGTCTGTCAGTTTATGTGTCACTTTATTGTGTACAATGTATTGAGGTTGGTGGTCTAGAGAGCCTGTGCGCCTTCACTATCATTCTCAGACCAGTAGATTCAAATTGAGAATTATATGATCCCACC